TGAGCTTGTCACTGAGGTTGCCACTGAGCTTGTCAGTGGGATTGCCACTGAGCTCGTTGATAAGCTTGGCACTGAGCTTGCCACTGAACCTGCCAGTGAGTCTGCCTCCGACACTTTCGCTGCGCCTGCCACTGAGGTTGTCGCTGTGCTGGCTACTGCGTTTGTGAATAAGCTGGTCACCGAGCTTGCCGCTAGCACTGTCGCTGCGGTTGCCACTGAGCTGGTCGCTGAGCTTACCTCTGAGTTTGGCACTGAGCTCGTCACTGAGCGGGCCACTGAGTTCGTCACTGAGCGTGCCGTTTCACATTTAGAGAAATAGAAAATTTTACGAGAAAACAAACAAAACACTTTTCGAATACATAGATGTAGTTAGAGTTGAGTTTTTGAATAATAATTACAGCATTTTTAGAGAGAGTTCATCTAGAGATGTCCTTCTATAAATTTCTTAACTTGATTCTTACCTTCTCGATAAGTCAAAGTAATAGTCATACACAAACCGTTTACAATATTACTTTCATGATTACAGACATGTTTAAAACATCTTAAAGTTTTCTCTAGGCATATTTTTAGTGTTAAGAAATATATTCTCTTATAAATTTATATAAGCTTTCTCTGCAGTCCCATCACGAATTGTAAACATTTGTTTTCCTTTCGTTTTTCCGTTCAGAAATTTGTGATTTTTTCCAACTTGTTTGCTTATAGAAGAAAAGAAGTATGAATCAAACAATAGATGTCTGATGCACACCACACATGTTTTTTCCTTTTCTTTTGTGAAATAAGAGTGTGCAAGTTTCATAAACACATTTTCTCCCACTTAAAAGAGTATATGAACTACTACTCATCTTTTATTTCAGAACATAGCATGTTGTTGTTGTTGTTGTACGACTTGATATTGCGGTTTATTCTGTTTTTCCAATAGTATGGCTAATTTAAACATGAAGACAATGGACACAATCTAGAAGCAGAATGCGTGCTTACATTTCAGTATATTGGCTTAGAAAAATCAAACTTACGGACAGAATCGATCCCAGAGCCAAAACGATCAAGCCAATAATGCTGACGATAGCAACAGCACCAGCTCGAACAGCCTGATCGCCACTTGCTGACATTGCTGCAACGCTCGCAGCCACGGCGAATACACTTATTAAAGCAAATAACAAAAAGATGACCAGAATGCCCATGAAAACCCACACAATGATACCGATCCAAGCCATCTGGCGAAAGAAAATAGTAGAGAGATATTGGGGCTTACAATATTTCTTTTAATGGGTAATAAACGAAGTCAAAATAATATATTAACATCAGCTGTATATAAACTCATTTGATATAACGCTCAAACTTTGCATTTGGTATGGGTCGGTTTTCAGAGGTCTAAAATTTGCATCTCATCTCAATAGATTTATTCGGTGGATATAAGATAAAATAGTGCATAAATAAAAATATTATAAATAAACATAATAACAATTTTCATTCTTATATATCTAAATAGTTATATATGTATTAAGATGAAAGAGAAAAATGATGAAGGAAGGAGAAACACTCTAAGAATAACAAATTGTGTTTATTCATAATAATTTTATTTGCACACTCTTAAATTCTTTAATAATGAAATAAAGGTTTTGAAACGTCGAAATAATTAATACTCAAATACAGTTGCTGTTAATATATTATTTTTACTTCAATGGGATTTAGCTAATTGAAGCACGATTCTACTTACGACGAGTATACCAATGCGTTTTGATTTGATTACAAAGTAGAGAGTGAGACCATCGATAAGCAAGCCTAGGATGAATGACAAGCAATTTTAAATGAAAAGTGAGCTCAAGCTATCTATGGTATGGCTCGGTTTTCAGACGTCTTTTCCATAGGAAAAGAATCTGCATCTCAATAGATTCATTCTGTGAAAGTTCCGCTTGATGCGAACCTGCCTTTTCTCAACTAATATGGGGCAAAATATGTACTGGGACGCCGTCTTGAGTACGTAGCTTTGTATTTGTTCAATGAAAAATCCAGAAGCCAGGGAATAGCGCATATAGCTTATGTAGAAGAAAAATAATTTGAAGAATTAGTTTGAACAAGTCGTTAATTGATTAGTGGGATGATCAAATAATAAAACAATTTTGGACGGTAGAAAAACTTGGTGGCATCGTAATAGCGAATGGGAGGAGGATTGGAGATAAAATGACTTACGTCCAGCAAGACCACTTGTTGCTGTTTTTCTGGTTTCGTTACTGTCTTGTTTCAAGGCCGTTGGAACGATTGAACCGATGAATGACAGTGCAGTTAGTGTCTAGATACAGACAAATTTATACAGTTGTTTAAAGAACTCCTGCAAAGAAACATACCAATGAAACTGATAGTAGAATAATCAAGACCTTTCGTTTAGATTGTATTACACGACCGAAACGACCGACAGTTTGTGGAACAAGCATGGTCGACCTTTCGACCTGAGAACTATATTGCATGATTTTGTGTTCGTTCGCAAAAAATAAATTGTTTTAATGAATAATTATTCTTTTCCTTTTCTATTTTTCATTGCAGACACAATAACGATTTTCCATTCCTATACATGTATAGATATAGATATAGATATAGATATGTATTCAGATGAACGAGAAAGATGATGAAGAAAGGAAAAGGATAAGCTCTATTTCTGTTCTCTCCCGAAAAAAAGGAAAAGAGAAGAAAATTCTTCTTCATTGTGTATTTGTACGTAAGATATGAAGCCATTCATATATAAGAATGAAAAACTGTATTTATTCATAATAATTTTTATTTGTATAGTATTTTATCTTATATTCCTTGATAATGAAAACAAGTTTTCGAAACATCGGAATAATTAAAGCTCAAATGAGTTTATATACAGTTGCTGTTAATATATTATTTTTACTTCTTTGGAATTTAGTTAATTAAGATACGAGTCTGGTGTAAAAGAATACACTGAGAAAGCAGAAAAAAGTTCGGATGGGTAATTCATTTTTGTTGTTAAGAAATGAAACGATTTCTGCCGACAACAACAATGGCATGATAATGTTTTTTTTTAATATAAACTTATTCAAAATAATAATACAAGTGAGAACATAACCGAGCTATTGCTCATTATGACATTCTTACTTGGTGACAAAATGTTGAATGATGAATTAGATTCCTGAAGAATAAGAACAGAAATAATCAACAAGTGAATGAATGACGTAAAAAAGACAACAAAAGTAATTAATTAAGTAATTAATTTATTGAAACGTTGAGGAAAATCTAAAGGAGGAATCGCCACATTAGTTGGATTTTTTCCTTGATCCAATGAATGATTTCGGTATTAAAAAGATTATTTTTCGTAACCAAGATTTTCTTCCTGGTTTTTCATATAGTTTTGTCAATCAGGATCAAATGTTATTTTGCTGACCTTGTAAATTCACGGCTCTAAAGTCATATATTATTATAAAGTCCAATAAATAAATAGGTTAGATAATCCTTAGAGAATACTATTTATAGGGGAGTTTTTCGATTAGAACAATTTTTGAAGTTCTTGTCCTAGATTCGATCTGCCGACCTTTCATACGTTGCACTTCTCCCACTACGTATTTTCCCATTGCACTAAATTGTGCAAAAGGAAACTGCGAGTTATAATAATACATTTGTATGAAAACCGTGCACTCGACAGAAAAGGTCAGCAGATCAAATCTAAGGGAAGAGCTTCAATAATATTGCCGCTCAACAGTTTTCCAGAAAACTGGTTTTTTCATTGTGTCACATTACCACCCCTCCTTAATTTCATCTGATCAAGTTAAAAATCTCATCGAAGATACTCAGGTTCATAGCGCAGAGGTATAATTTTGGAATTTTATTTAGACCTTTCTTCACCAAGTTATAGGGTTTCTAAAATTGAAAAATTATTGTGCAATCAAAATATTTTAATGAAACTTCTGCTAGGAATTTTTAATGAAAGTTTCGGCACGGTTGTGGGACCTCTCAAATCTAGTTCGATTACGGTAAAAAATCACATGAATGCAGGAAATCATAAATGGGATTGTATGCATTCCTCTCGAACACTTTAGATATGCATTAGAGAAGCGTTTAGTGTCTTGGCATAGTTCTTGACAGTTGAGCATCATCTAATTTATCAATACGGGTTGGTCTTTCCAAAACGTGCGACGTTTACGTCGACTTTATCCCAACAGTTCGAAAGTAACGGGACTAGCACAACTCGATCTCCTGACGACGAGTATCACGTTTAAAACATTTTAAAACAACGGCATCGTGGCCTTCCAGACCTGAGGAAATCCCATTTCCCAGTAGAACGACGTTTTGTGGGCTTTTCATCATTTTGTAGCGAAACACTTTCATGAGCTGGTACCGTCAAATTTAGAATTCACATATACAGCGCTGCAAGATTCTTAACAGACAAAAAGTTGCAAAATGCTAAGCACGTTCTCAGGAGAATTTTTTAAAAATTCGTTTTTTCCGAACAACAGGCCTATTTTGTAATCCGTATTTTCCCTAAAAAATCGTGTTAACACACGACAACAAGATACGCATTCGACGCATCTTTTCAAGGTCTAGCTTATGAAGTGATTCTCACTGAGATTAAAAGCCATCTAATGCTAGAAAAAAACAACTTTTAAAGGCGATCTTCCTCCTTTTTTAAAGTTTGAGTATGTGCCGCACCATTCCACGGGATTACAGGACGTGGGATGGCATAATCAGGAGATGGAACTGAATAGAATCAGTTCCATCTCAACCGTTAGATTGTTAATAAGTGCTAATTAGCATCACTCTCGTGCCTTACTGCTTTATTTCTTAGTGATTTCCAAGTACTACAACACCCTGTATTTGCTTTCCCAGAAAGGTACTAATTACCAGTTATTTTAACCCATTTTTAGATATATTGGATTTCTAAGCGGTGTATTACTGTGCGCCCACAAAAGCCATTTTTTAAATAGCTTTTGATTAATACTAGCTAGAGAGTTGCGATTTTCGTCATAGGATAGCCAGGACATTGCCGCCCCTTTATGTAACAGATAAAATTTTCAAGACTTCTTGCAAACCGGTTTTCCCGAGGATCTCAGAAAAACCAAGCTAGGACTCTTAAAGCCGCAGCATCAACCTATGGTTTGGAATTCCTTTCGAAAAATGAGCGTCTAATCTAATCAACCAAGTTGTGTTCTTTTGACTTGGAATAATTAAAAACGCGTTCCTATCGCTTAATAGCGCGTTCTTACTGATTGCATCGGAACGTACTCTTGAAGAACGGTTATATGTTCTTATAGGAACGCGTTTTCTCAATCATAAAACGTGATTGCTATTGAATGTATTCGAACGCGTTCCTGAAGAACGGCTTCCTATCGATTAGGAACGTGTTCAGTGACAATACGTTTGTCTTGAGAAGAAACGCGTTCCGAGGCGTTCTTAGTCGATAAAGGGACTGATTTATGCTGACTTGTCCACTGTGACTTATACAGAGTGTAAGATCTTGCAACGAGACCTTCAATTCAAGAATCTGTTTGAAGTTTAAGGGTGAAGCGTGAAGACATTTACATCCACTAAACGTAATGGAAGAGAAACAGGACTTAATATGTCCGATACTGTACATATTTTTGCAGCGTGAGAGAAACTGAGTGACAAACTCGAGAAAGAAAAGGTATGCCTCGACCGGGAATCGAATGCAGTGACATCGGTCATGGCTCTTCTACTGAACTATGAACTACAGGCTTTTACTCTCTTCACAAGGATTTGACATGCCTGTTTTATGTTTTAACTGTAAAGCGACATGTCATAGAATTCTTGCAATACACTGTAACAACTTCCAGGTGATTTTGAATGAAATATGAATTTTTGGTAAAAAAGCCCAAAACCGATAGTTCTCGTAGAACTGGTTTCACCTTTTCTAATCAATATGCATCGATTGATAAACAGTTTGGGATGTGATGCATGAATGTAAATACAAGAATGTTGCATTTATAAGAGTGCGTAGGGTTGTTGAGCTCGTCTTAATAAAATAGAATGTTCATTAGAGTCTTGCTACTTCTCACATGGTAAGCATCCCTTTGCTCTTGCAGAATTTGATGTTATTCTTCATGTCTTCAATTTTTATTATTCTTAACCTCTACTTTTAATCGGAAGATGATTTGGAAAAGTCGTACGAGTTTCAGCACTTTGAAATTTGATATGATACAAAATGTGGAGAATGTCTTCTGATTTCTTCCTTACCTATTCTTCCTTATCTAAGAGGAAATTGCGATTACTATAAATATACAGCTCGTTGGCGTCCTATTCTCTTTATGCGCATACTTATTTATACGTGAAAAGAAGTGTGTACCATTGTACACGCTAAATATCCCTACTAAACCCTGCTAAACCTGTTTTGATAACGGGTACATTGCTGACGTCAATTTTGTGAAAAACTCAACTACCCCATATATCAGATTAGTTTAAATTCGAGTCGAACGTCGAATAAATCATAAATAAACATTAATTTGGCGATAGATAAGAGTTTTGTATGTACATAAGAATTCAAAAAATGAATAAAATATCAATAAATATATTTTGGATAATAGCTATACACTAGCCAGTGTTAGTACTTCTGAGGCAGTTAGTTCACGTCTATAAGCATAGAATTCATCTAATATTCCTTGAAATCCGTAGCCTGGTATGTATCCATACGTAGCGCCATTACCGTATCCAAGCATAATAGTCACGGTATGGGAGCCAAAATAATAAGAAGTAACTCCCGTGATTGAACCTTGGACTGCACCGTTAACATAAAGTATCATTCCGTTCGTCAAACTGAATGTCCATGCAACGTGTGTCCAGGTGCTAGTTGATAGAAATGGTCCAACCACAGCCTGATAGACAGTTACAGGCTGATATTCATATATTTGACCAACAATTTGTCCACTATATGTCAATCCGAGTATATTGATTCCATTACTGCTATAGACGAGAACACCACCGTTTATAGATGATGGATACACCCAAGGAAGCGTTTCTTTACTACGACAAAACAAGTTTTCTGTTTTCGGCTAAAGCATCATCACAGGAGAAAAAACCATCTGTAATCGAAACAAGTGAACGTAATAACTGAATCTCTCATTAGGGCAACTGAGATTGACTTCGTGGTCGGATAACCGATATTAGGCCAACAGCAAATTTGAATGTAACTTGAAGTGGTTGTTAAACGAATCGCTTGTCCCACCTTTCCAGATGTACTTGCTAAACCACTCACGCCTGTGTAATTTAAAAGATTCGGTCCATTGTCATAATAAGGACTTGGTTGATCGAATGAAAAATAATATATTTGTGTGCCAGCATTTAACATTTCTGTTGCACTTTTGGCTCGTGCTAGAGACAGAAGGGTACATCATTAGAAAAGGTTGTCAGATCTGTAGTATAGCTTACTCGTGAGCTGCGCCATGTAGATGTACGCGTTAAAATAATTTGATGGTAAAAGTGTTGAATAACCGAAATACATTGTTCCATTCGTACCAAGATAGGGTTGTGCATTTGAACTGATTGCGTCTTGAACACCGTCCAAGTAAATAATTTGCTGTAATGTCTGGTAATTGTAAACGAAAGCAACATGATACCACACACCGGTCACCAGTGTCGTTGAACCGGCTAAATCGTTATAAGTGAAGCCCATATAGAGTTTACTACTTCGAATAATTAAGAATAAGCATTGATTTGAACATGTGGTACATGTGCATTGACTAAATATAGGTTGGTCACCGATCGATAGACTATTAAGATTAATCCATATTTGAAATGTGAAACTTCTAGAGTTTAAATTAAAGTAGGATGTCGATGGTACTGAGATATAACTATTTGTACTGTACATGTAAAACATGTAGCCATAAAAGAATCCTGTTGTGGTAAAGTAACACCAATTACAATTTGTTGTTCCACTGTAATTCCCGTAAAAGTCGTTTGCATTATTCTGAAGTGCCCAGTAAGCAAGAACGACAGGTGCGGCTGTTGTTGTGGTTGTTGTCGCGGCTGTAGATGGTGAACCTGCAATTTCCCAAAACAGTGATCATCGCACTGCCTTATTTTCATAAAAAGAGCAGCTACCTGCCTTTACTGCTATTGGAATAACAATAGCTGCAATAATCAATACGCCAGTTGTAATCCCGCCGACGATCAAAACTTTTTTCGTCAGCCATTCTGGACGCTTACATTTAAAACTAAGTGAAAATATGCGATATTGATAAAACAATATGAGAAAATACGATGCTAATATTTACCTCCGTTTACTTTTTTTTGTTAGATTCGTTGTACTTTTTTGTGTAATAGTTCTTACGTTCGTGGGAAACATCGTTCCCTGAATAAAAACTACTTTGAAAGTGTCAATTTAAGACAACAATGTATAATTTTAACTTTTGACTTATTACTGTGATACTTAAGAGCCATTGGAAAAGTAAGATAGCTTACTGCTTAGCTGCAAGATTTCTCGATAACGAAAGTTCGCGGACACCACGCAGTAGTCTCAAAATGACGAAAAACTGTGAACGCAAACTTTGTCTTCGAGATAAAGTAGCGCTAGTGTACGATGCATATTGTGGGGTTTCTAGATGAAAATCTCCTAACTTTTCACTGGAACATCGTCTAACGCTGGAAGGCATCTTACTTTGATCAAAAACGTTCGCTCTACAAGCTATCCACTCTAGAATTCGTTTTATTAAAATTTTACGCTGATAAAATAAGTTAGCGGAAAAGTCATTTTTCTCAGGGTTCGCATGAAGCTTGTGAAGAAATCTGCAGAAGCCTTTGATGAGGGTCTAACTGTCATGGATCCTGACAGCCAAACATCTTAGACTTCACAAAGATGCGATTATTTCAATCTTGACTTTTTCGAAAAATTTTGTATTTCTTAACGGTGAGGGCCTTTGCTTTACATATCATCAATCGATATTTTGCTGGCGATACCCCAAGAATTCGATCAGAGCCGAATATTGGCTTTTGGCACCAAACAAGAAATACAGTTATGATTTCCAGGTGTCGCCCGCTCAGTGATTCAACGTCAACTTTGAAGACATTTTTCTTCCAGATACTAGTAGCTTTATACAAGCATCCGATAAACAGATTTCTAGAGTTGATGGAAAACTATAACCTGGTGCCAAAACAAAAATAGGCAAATATTTTTCTTAAACAAAATAAAAACAAATTCTTAGAAATTTATCTTTACTGCGCCAAAACACGTCCAAAATGTGGGAAACGATTGTTTGCTGGTTGGACTTTTAATTACTATCGGATTCGAAAAATACGATACCCGACGTCTCTTCGAATAACTCGGCAATGCGAAGAGATATCGAGAAACGGTTTTCGCCTACTTATAACCAAGTCCGGAGCACATCGAACTATAGTAGAAAATGTTTTTTCATTGGTTCTCCAGAGGCTTTCAAGGAGGATCTTTAGAAAATCAACTCGGATATCTAGAAATTCGAGTTTTCGAAACTTATGTGAGAAACAAATGTTACCACGATATTCAGCGTGAACGATTACCTATGTTACCATGCGTTTACGGTTTAACCACATCTAAAGAAATATCGCTCCTGGCACTCGACGGAAATCCAATGCCAGTGCTTTAAACCAGGAAAAATTAACAGTTCGCTTGATTCTCATTTTGGAGAGAACACTTTGGACTATCTATCTACAGAAAAACTGGTAGATTGCTATCTCAGTTTCTAGATATCCGACCGGATATCCGGTTTTATAAAGATCATCCTGAAAAACCCCTGGAGAACTATGAAAAAACATTTTCTGCCATAGTTCGATGTGCTCCGGACTTGATTGTGCTGAATATGAAAAGCACTTTTCAGCGACTCTGTGCGAAAACTATGTGGAGCCCCTCTCGTGCGAGCCCTGTATTTATGATCTGTTAGCTGAGCAGACGGAGATTGAGTTTTATATCTACAGCAACATCAAACATAGTACAAACAACAGATGTACTTTTTAAGCTGAATTCACCATCGAAAGAAGCACGAAGGACTTTATCGGTAACAATTATGGAATCAGTGTTTCTTCTCTTGCCTTTTAACCTTCACTCCTTTCGAAGTCCCTGTAAAGTCTAGTACATTTCGAAAAGGACAATCCATTTGCAGGTGAAGAAATAGCCTAGATTCGCTAAGTTTTGATATATACGACACGCAAAATGTCATTCTATCTTTTCTCTTCATGAGTGTAGACGTTACTGTATAGTTAAAAGTATATTGCACGTTTTTCTTTTCTTCTTTTCACGTTATATAAAATTCTAATCTACTAAAATGCCCGATAATAATGATCACTTCCCGTCACATGACTTTAATGTTGACAAAATCGTGCGTACTGTTGTAAAAAGTTTATTATCAAATAAAGAATTCGTGAAAAACTTGGTCTCATCTGTTGTAAATGATTTGAGAAATACTGTTAAAGAGGCTATAGTTCCATTGCAAGATGTTAGTAAAAAACAGCAGATGGATATGGATAACCATGAAGTTCTTATTAAAAGATTAGAAAGTGACGTATTCCAATCGAAATTATTGATAAAAACCTTAGAAACAAATATAAACGAGCTTAAAGAATTAAGCTCTACCGTTATATTCCATCCACATTACAACCATCAAGCACTTAATAATTAATCATTGTAACGTGATTCGGACGAGGATTTTTTTCTGCACGATTTTTTCCGGAATACTGCACAGGTGTCTTTTTACTGCACGCTCCATGCAGAAAAAAATCTTTTTCCTTTTTTCCGCACGGAGACATTTTTCTGCACAGTTTGTTTGGTAAAGAGATTCAAATTTATAAAAGACCTATTTCTCGTATGCATCATTTATACTTTTTGATTCTTAAACATAGATTTATTCAATATTTTATCATCAAAATATAGAAAGAATAGGTACAAATCACCATTCTGCAATACTAATGACTCAATGCAGGAGTCGCCTTCTGTGAACGTCCACGTCTTTTTCCCAAATCTTCTATTTTGCCTGGATCAGATACAATATAGTAATTAAAATAAATCATCAATCCAACAGAATGTTTACATACGTGTTCCTTTAAATTTGTTTCACATGCACACATGATTGATATTGTGACTAGCCTGCCTGAGTACAACCATCTCGAAAATTCATTAAAACTCGAACATGGTATGAAATGATACTGTTGTAACCATGTTGAGGAATCCATGTGTTCAGGAGATGAGGATGGGACAAGAAATGGTCGTGCATGCCAATGAAATATTAAACTTTTATTCAAATTCTTCGACCATTTCCATGCTTCTCGTTCTGCTGAAACACTAACAATTGAAAAGGTTGCAAATCCAATCCAATCTGAAGTGATTTCTGTGCCCATTCTTTTAGCATTTGTATCACTGGTAGAAATACGGATAGTATCCGTATTTATCCGTATTTCTATATTCTCATTGAATGAGAGTTTATTTCGTAATGTATATGATATTTTTATTTTACCATTAATACTTTCCAAACCACATCTGTACATATCTCTCTATTGTACATACAGTCATGTATTGCAGTCGACAATATCGTTTCTTTGCCGAAAGACCATGCAGAAATAAATAACGTGAATCGCATCGATCCAATAAGTCCGTTGCCTGTAAGTCGAATGAATGCACTGTGGGTATTATTATTCATTCTGTTGTAACTCGATCTTGTTACGTGTTTCGAAGCCACGTATGGAATAGAAGTCAAGTCTATCAAGTCAGCATCAGTTCACGAGTTATGTGACTCTCAAAAGTTTGAAAGCGTCATAGCGTTACTCAATTTGTGTAATTCATCGAGTCTCTGTAATTTGATTTAGTTTTATCTGAACCCCCAAAGAACCACAGAGGTCTAACAATATTTCGAAATTCCAGACAATGCTCACGCGTCCCTTCGATCCGCGCTGGCAGCCATGACAGGTGTTACACGTCTCTGATTCCACAGAAAACCCGAACGCATCTACCCATGTGGATCTTTGTCCGTGACACTCATTAGTGATTCTGTGTATGTACGTCCGTCACACCTCTGTACGGACAAACACACACACACAAACACAAACACTTTATTTTATATGACTATAGACTTACATTCAATAGAATAAGTCTTTTATATAAATTTGAATCACTTTACTAAACAAATCGTGCAGAAAAATGTCTCCGTGCAGATGACTTCTTTTTTCCGTGCAGAAAACAGGAAAAGAGTTTTTTCTGCACTGACCGCGTAATAAAAAGACACTCCGTGCAGTATTCCGGAAAAAAACCGTGTAGAAAAAGCATTTTTCCCACGTGATTCATCACTAATAGTAAGACTTTCTCTTATCCTTTTTAACGAAAAGCGTGCTTTTTTACTTGTATATAGTATTGTTTGCTTATATGAACTGTCTAACTTATAGGCACTACCTAAATGTTCGTGGTTTTAAGGGGTTTTTCTTTTGAATCTTTTGATATGTTAATCGCCATACTGTTCTTCCAAGTAAAAGTCTATTTTCTTTTTTTCATACAACACTCTACACAATTTAAGCATATTGTAAGAAAGAACCGACAAGATTATCAAGTCCATTTTCTTTTTTTCGTCCGCTGCTATATCTTCTTACTTTCTTCTCTGCTGTGTGTGGTGTGGCTGACTACGTGCGTGAGGTTTTCTTACTATATCAAGAATAATGTTATTATTTTATAGTCAGAAAGCTAAAGATCATTATACTCCTGATTCGATTTTATTCTTGAACGCAAATAGTGTCTTAGGTAAAATTGATTCTGACTCAAACAGTCCACTAGCTCTTCAAAAATTTGCTTTACTCCTAAAAAAATTTGCTTCGCTGGCCTTTTTTTTATTTTTATTGTTTATTGACGCTCTGTCTCAAATCTCTGCAGTGCTCATGCAAGGAATCTCTGTCGTTTCGCCAAAAGACGATTCGCCAAAAGACAATTCGCCGTGGCGAAAAGTCATGGGACGTTTCGCCAATTGGCGAAAGCGTACAAATTCTTGGCGAAACGGCACTGGCATTTCGCCATGGCGAATTGTCTTTTGGCGAAACGGTTTTTTACCATCTTTTGTGTACGCAAAATTTTGGGAAATCTCTGACGTTTCGCCAGAGCACGATTCGCCAAAAGACAATTTCCCCGAAACCTCCCTCGAAATATATATTTTCAAACAAACTAAACGAACTAAAAACAAATTCGGTATTCCATGGTCTGTTCGTCTGTTTAAGGAGATGAACAGTTGAACAGTCTTCGTATGTAAACGGGCAGAGATTAAAAGGAAAGAATTAAGAGGCGAGAGAGACAGAGAGATAAGGAAGAACACGAAAAATAGACAGGAAGAAAAAATACATATAAGTGTGACTTAGAGATAAAGAAAGGATAGTCGGATGAGTTTTCCGCTTCTTTCCTCTTTAAAATGTTTACCCTATAGTCAAGCGACATTTTCTTCACGTATGTATTATCATAATTTAAATGGCGATACCTAAGTCAAGTTAGGGATCAAGAATCAGTGAGATTCCTAAGTTAACTGGGGACTGATAACAATTTACGGTGTTCTAACCATTTACTGGCAAAATGTCATGTGCTATTTCACCAATTGGTGAAACTGTACAAATTCTGAGCGAAACGGCATTGACACTTCGCCAATTGCCGAAACGGCACATGACATTTCGCCATGGCGAATTGTCTTTTGGCGAAACGGTTTTTTACCCATGCAAGCTGCTTGCTCATGGCGTTTCGTTGTATGTAATTGGGAGCAGAAGGGCAGCCCTGTCCTGCGACGGCCTCTGGTAGAAAGCCTCCTTTTGAATATCAATATTTCCAAGACAAATGCCATGTTTTTCGGTCACTATAAGAGAAATCTTCCACCTGCATTAGTCCTAGATGATTCTTTTCTAGTCTACCTTGACAAAGTATCTCATCTGGGACTATTATTAACTCCCAAGTTAGACTTGCCACATAGATTATATTTTTGTTAAGTGTTCCAGAATTATAGGTACTATGAAACTGCTGAGTCATGTGATATCTCGAGAAGTTATGGTTAGTCTACAATGCCTTTATTTTCTCCATAATTAATTATATGAGTGTCATCCATTCTGGTACCACACAAGCTACTATCCATTTCAAAAAAGAAGAAGCACGGCCATTTCTTTGATAACTTTTTCTAAGAAGCAGCTAAAAAGGTGCGGTTTTCAGTATCGGAAAGCGAAATGTTGGGGTAATATGAAAAACTAAAAA